TTTCCCCTTGGAATTTCCTTTGATACCATCACAAAACAACCATTATTGGAGGTGGCATGTCAGAGAGTCTGAATTTATAGAGAAACCATGAAATTTCCGGCCTCGATTCTATAGAGGATTTATGATTGGATCAACAGATCTGTTTAATCTAAGGAAATCTGATTATATAGTGAAGCAAGCAGGGATTTGACATGTCAAGGGTCTCAATTCTAAAGAGTTTCTATATGCAGAGAGCTGCTGTCCAAAAATATGTGAAGGTGACTTCTTTTTGAATATATAATGTTGAGACACCATAGAATTGTGGTAGCCTTCATTTAGGAATAGGTTGGTACAGGTACTGTCTCCAAAGTAGTCAAGTTTTGCAACCCAAAGCCTGCTATTCTATAGAGGCACTATTACCCCATAATTGACAAAATGTGTTCCAGAGTACCCTGCGCCTACAATAGAGTTTATACTTTAAAAAATCCAACGAGCTGTGACTTAATTTCCAGATCAAAAACCCAATTCTATAGAGCTGGAGATGATGTTCTTTGTCGAGCTCAAAATGCATCCTGTCATGTTGGATATCATATGCAGCATTTTATGACTATAAAATCGATATACCCACCCACCCCACCCCACTTAGTTCCAAGGGTGATTCATTTATATATTATATAGCATACAATAAAACAATACATTTATATTTGATTAACTTCGGGGCATGCATGGTATTAATATTGTTTTGAATCACCTCATTTTGTAAGTTTGTTTGTTCATTGGTATCATTTTGTAGACTCTTTTCGGAGGTGCCATGTTGTAGACCAAATTTTGTGTTTTTTCTACAACATGACTGGTCTCAACCACATTTTGTAGACTATTTAGATGCCAAGAAAAGGTTCATATTGTCGACGAGGTTTGCGCAGTCAAGAGGTCATTTTGTAAACTATTCAGATTCATTCGTCTCAAAAGGATTTTGTAGACAAGATGCCATTTCATTTTGCTTCTTTTGTAGACAGTCAAATCTCTACAAAACGGAGTAACTAGTCTCATTTTGTAGGCAAGAGTTGTCATTTTGTAGACTCGGATCTGTGTCTCTACAAAATATCCCTTGACTGCTGAGATTTGTGGGACATCCCATCATCTTGTAGACGAATCACGCGCGCACTTGTTCTACATAATGACATCGTGCACCTCATTTGTATGTTTTTATCGTTGCTGTTTTTGGTATCATTTTGTAGACATTTTTCCGAGGTGCCATTTTGTAGAGTCAAAACATGTTTTTCTACAAAATGACTGTCACGACCCCTCATCCTAAATTTGAACGGTTGTACGTTTGTAATTAATTGTGTTTTGTTGTTCTTACAAAAGTCTATACTCGTTAAATGTAAACATCAACCGTTTCACAACTTATGGGCGCAATCAATGGAAATACTATGAGACTGGGAAAGAACTTTTGTAGGAAGTGAAAGAGGAACAAAACATGTACATTGTAAGCTAGTTGTCTCTGGCACAGAAAAGGACACATAAGAATGAGAGCTTGTTTGATTGTTTGTTTTCACAAGATGTGAAGACATTACAGGATGGCAGAACATGTCAGAATGCGAGCTTCTCCATCATGTTGTTTCAAATCTGACTAGATCCTCAGAAAGTAGTTTGACCTTCCACACACTTCCCATCCAAAGCCTCCTGCAAAGCGGAGCTACACAAATCCCTACTCTTACTGTACATTGTAGTAGCTTCCAGAGCCGACCAACAGTTCTAAAGACAACATGGTTCGACGGGGGATCAAAACCTTGGTCGATTCAAGCCATCGCAGACTCTCAGCTATCGTACCAATGCTGTGCGCGCGCAAGGAAGATAATCCCTCTTGATGATGGAGGTCCAATCACCGTAGGCGTGCTGCGTGGTTTGATCGCAGTGACTGGGCTGTATACGCATGTATATGGTGTAGACCTCGAAAAGCACATGTGGTATTTGGCTTTAAGGCTAGTGTGCAGAGAAAAATGCCGGCATGCTTTGTGCACCGCAGCGGTAGTCGCACGAGTAGCAGTGGAGGTTCGCTAAAATGCGTTGGTGAATATTGTTGATTCCTTTTGAACTGATTTATCCGATATGATTTTGGTGCTTTTAATTTTATGCTCTCTGAAACTGTCGAACAAGCCACGGATTGGTAGCATTGCATTCAAATGCACATGTTTGCTTACTGCGTGTTTGCAAGACGCTATAGCAAGCTACAGTTGCTTGTGAATTTAGCGTGGTGGGGCTCCCTTAATAGCTTTCATTTGCTGACCTCATAACTGACATCATGCGTCCAACACAACACCACCACCAAACTGTGGGGCCCGAAAATAGACACAACATACCCATGAAACTCTTTACGAAAACGGTCCTGAGGTGGTGCCAACGGAGTTAGGCAAATGCATCGTGTCACGGTGTGTCTAAATTCTTTGATGTTCTGTGTACTTTTCAAAGGAATGTAACGAGTGGGTGTGACATACAGGGTTTTCAGTGATGTAAGCCAAACCATGGCGGGTGAAGTTAAGGGACGACCGGTCATATTCAGTTCATGGGATCAAGGTCTGAATTTATGAATGTGTGCCGCTGTGCCATGACCACCCGGATAATTGCTGGCAAGTTTCATGGGTACTCCCTGTCCAAAGAAACAGAGGCTAACCCAGAGATCGAAAGTCTCCGACAGTAGCGGGTTAAATTTTGAGAGGTAGAAATGACAACTTGGTGGTTCATTCTCTTGTGCTAGTGCTCTTTTGTTTTGGCTGAGGGGGGGGAAGCTGTGGAAACGTTGCTATAGAGGTAATTCGATCGAAGGTGGTGCACTCATGTTTCACCCCCCAAGGAATCTTTGGATGGCGAGGAGGGGTCCCAGAAGACTTATGGTGGCCGTTTGATCGACGACCCCGGGCAGCCTGGCAGGGCGGAACCGTTTTTGTTGATTCCCCTTGACGAGAAACTGTGGGAACATCTAAGTTGGAGACCGATAGAAACAGTTTTCCAAACAGATTTCAATTAGGGGACATGCACAGAACAGTTTTCCATTTCCAAACGGTTGTCCATTCTTTTGTAAATCGACATAGACAGAGATAACATGAGTCTTGTTGCGGCCCCTAAAACAAATCTAAGGCGCATTCGCTTGTATGTGAATGGCATTGGGCCTGCCTTGGACTTCCCCCTCAGCGAGGAGGATCGCCGCAGGAAGGAAATAACAGCGCTGATCCAAGATGCAACGCAAGAGCCGCAACACCAAGATGCTTGGTTAGAAGCAGTCCAGAGTTTGTTTGAAGCCAGATTCGGTGCTGATGTGGAGCATGATGCTGAGTACACGGAGATCATGGAATGGGTAAAACATTTTTTGGCTGTGGAGGCAGGATGTTGTCGTGGTGGCCCACAAACGGGTCTAGATGCTGCAGTGCGAGATGAGCTTGTTGCTTTCTTGAAGGAGGTCGTCCCAAATAGTGCCAGTTTGAAGCAGATTTACAAGGAAATGAAGGAAGAGTTCTTCTGATCGGATCTGATCGGCATGAGTCTAGTTCGAACAACCGAGATGCCAAGAAGCTCAAGAGATCACACGCCTTTTGCAAGGTGTTGACCCACTTGGCCTGTCCTGTGGCCATCATTTTTCCCTTGTATCACTTCTAGTACGACCAATCTCTACCACAGTTCCTGTACGTGACAAGTATCTATCTACTGTTAAATTGCGTTGCAACGGGCTTTCTAATTGTTTATGTATATATTGGAAGACAGCAGAAGAACAAAACCCATCGAATTGCAAGTAGTCCTGACTAGCATAGCCCAACCCAGCAAAGCAACATGGGCTGTTCTTAAATGACAAATCCTGACAAGCCTATGGTCGTGGATCTCATTTTCAGATGGATCAACCGCTTGTTGACTCGATTGGACTGCGTCTCTTGGGATGTGCATCTCTTGCCCGCCGGAGCCTCCGCTCTAGCTGGCCGTCCAGACCTGGAGCCGGTCCATGGAGTCGGTTCAAGAGAACCACACATCATGGTGTGAGATTTGTTCCTTATTTTCATTGACGTTCGACAAACTGATTTTGAAACACGACCGGCCTTTATAATATAAAGACACACAGCGTTGACTCAGAACCCGAGACACGCGTTTACTCAGCTGTTCTTTTGGCTCCACATGTCTGATAGTCAACACACGTTCCCTCGAGCTCTCACAGATGCGTCGAGAAAACATCCGGATGGGGGTGGAATTGACTCCTTGGAGTGGGGAGACAGCGCGACCAAGGGGGTTCAGCCGGCTTCGGCCCTCTGACTGGTGGGAATGCATTTTGCCGCTCCAGTGCTAGTGTGCACTTTAGCGCCATGCGCACATTATATATAACTATGGCTGATTGTACATGTTCTGCTTTTCATGTTTAATTGATGCACTTGCCATATGGATTGACGGCCGCTTGGGTGGAGGCTTCATGTTATAGCCACGCCTGTACGAGGGCAAAGCCAACCGATCAGACCAAGCTGTACCCATTTCGAGCTCGGATGATAAAGCTTCAAACCGCGGATGTCACCTGCCAAAGGAGTCACCTGAATGGCAAAACGCATTCAAAAAGCAAGATGTGCCCCAGATCGTCCAATCCTGCCAAGTCCCAGCTTGTCCCAAGGAATGAGCTGGTGGCGGGCAAGGAGTTGCTCACTGTTTGCTGCGTTTTCAGCTCAGCTTTGCTGGAGGCGTTTGGGATTACATGGGCGGGTGGGCAGATGTCTTGGCACAGGCCTTCCATGTTAGCTCATATGCTACTCGCTGGTCTTCGTTTTGAGTATTTGATCACATTCAATGTGAGTTGAATGATGTCCGTTCCATGGCTTCCCCTTCCAACCTCCAAAAGCGTTTCCCTCTTCAAAACCAACCTGGAAGTGGCACAAGGTCTTCTTAGAAGCGATTTTGCTGTACAATATGTCTATATTATATGATATTATATGTACTTATTATGCGTCTATATATAACATATATAAATACACGTCGATTTAGTCGTGCTATTTGATGCTTATCTCAATTGGGGTGATGCAAAATATACCAGATATAGCGTCCAAAAACACCGTTTGACTTAGTCTTTGTTGACAACAACATGTTTCTTGTCGAAGCCTTTGCAATATTTTGAAAGACTATGTTTCACCATTGTTAACATTTAGAAAGATGTGGGGGGCCGGGGTTGCATTTTGCAGTGTCAATCGTGTCAATGCTTGGATGTCTTCCAATCACGTTTGTTTGGTTATATAGTGCCGTCTGAAAACTCATAATCAGTCAGGTGTATCTCATGGTGTTCATAGCGATGTTTACTTCGTTCGTTTCACTGTCCGTGCCGTTTGACGCCGTGCTTTTGGTCTCTCCGCCAGCCGCCAGGAGAAGGCCCGCTACTTGCACGCCGTCTTCGACGCGTCGGGGCGTGGCTTGGGCACCGGCCAAGAGGTGGTGCCTTGGATCCGCGGTGGACGCACGGTGGGCGGTGGGGTCTTCAAGTGGTTGATGGGTTGATGGGTTCATGGTAGCTGTAGCTGTGCTAGGTTTTTTTGGTGTTGTTCCACTCGAAATGGTGGGTGAATCTGCAGTCGAAATCAGGATTCACTGAAACTCGACCTCAATCCGTTTCTCCAAGTCCTATCCCAGATGATTCACCTAGAAAACTACATCCAATCTGGTACGCGGTGTAGTTCTGCATCTTCTGCTCTTTGTCTTCACTCAACCCGCCCCCACAGCAGACGTCCCATCCTTTCAGGGCACCCCACAGCATCCCCCCAAAGCAGCGGCCCCTTTTTCGCACACCCGTGGTGCGTTGACCGGCGGTCAATTGACCCACGCCACCGGACCTGAGGCGTCCATTTGTCTGATGGTCCTGCTGGTCTTGGGGAAGGTCAAGGGCACCGTCGCCAAGGCCAAGGCGCGCCGGCACCGTCGGGCGGGTTGCGGTGTTTGGAAGCGGGGTCGGCGGTGTTTGGTGGTGTGGGTTGGGCGGATGTAGCTCGTTTGGGTCGGGGGGGTTAGAAGTCGTGAGGCACTGAGGAAGATGGCTGGAGTCACAGAAATGGTGTGTTTTGTTGTTTAATGTGTTTGTCTTTTTCAGAAATGGAGTCCCAAAAGTTGAATTTGGAATTTGGAAGGAAACTAAAAGTCTATGTCAAGCCTTCTTCGGAAGCGTCTTCCTCCTCGCGTGCCTTTATTGGGCCCGGCCCAGGAGGTGACCCCACAGCTTCAGCTGGAACTGGAGACCTTGCTACCTCCCTATGCTCCTGGAGAAACGTCTTGGGATGGGTGGACGCCTTGTGTGGCTGTGGGTCATGGCACCAGGATACTGCGGTTGACCTACTGGTGTCGGTCTTTCGCTAGATGATGAACCAGAGCTTTGCTCCGCGTCTTGACCCATCCCCATGTTGCTTTTGATATTTGTTTGACGTTGTTCAATAAAGGATTGCAACCCCGTGAGATGATTCCATCGAGGATCCGTAGGCCTCAAACGCGTACATGTTACAGTAATTTATACCCTACCAGTCCAGGACCAAGTTTATCCTGGTCCTTGATCTCATTGAGTATTGTTTTTGCATGACTGGACCCAGTAGAATGAGGTCCTTGACCTTTAGTATACACCTTACCTGCAGGTAGCCTCACGCCTTGACGCCCAGTTTAAGTTTCTTAAGTTTCCTCAGTCTTCCCACTGAGACCTCAATACCATGTGGGTGTGTCTTTGAATAGGGACCCCCAAACAAGGGCTTTGGTCTATGTTTCCCTCTTCCAGGGGCCGAACTGGGAAGTCTCCGCCTATCTTTATACACATGTATAGGACCTGGAGACACTCAGAGTCCTCAAAGACATTGTCAACATTGAGAAGGGGTGCAACCCGTGCTTCCTTTTCATCTCCAGATGATCATGAATATTCATAGATCATATGGTTCAAAAGATTCAGGTTTCTTTTTTTGAGCACATGGCCAAAGAGTTTTCTCTGACAAGCAGTTCTGTTACTGTGGGGCGTTTCCTTTCTCGCACGGTGTTCCTTCGATCGCTCGCTCCCACGTCCTGCGTTGCGCATGTGTTTGGTCCAAGGCTGAAGCTGTTCAGCAAGTGGGAAGCAAAGAAGCCTTTCAGACGCCTGGTACTAGTTGGTCAAAGTTTATTCGTGTGCCATGACGACATTTGGTGTTGATTCGAATATCGAATACATGTTAACATTGTGAAATGTTTGGGACTCTTTGGGCTGTTGACTGTTTGTACCCTCAAGAGCAAGCCAGCCACCCTGCAGATGCTCCCCGTACCGAGGGGGGGGAAACATGTCCACCCTCCATGAGTCGCTAGTGGCCGAAAAAGTGAGAATTTGGAGCTCAGAAATTCAAGGAGATACAGAATTGGATGAGGACATGCTGAGCAGAAGTGAGAATTTCTTTTGAAGATGAATCTGAGGAAGGTGCATATTGACATATATGTTGCCTATTGTTGCCTATGCTTGATGTTTATTTGTGTTGGATTTGTCCGGATCAAACATGTGACCGGCCCGCCCGCACTGGATCATTTGGGGGCTTCCTCAAGTGCACTCACCATGAACTGTCCTACTCCGTCATGATGGGCTCCATGGATCAATTAAAGCATGCACACACAGCGCCACCATGGACGCTGTCTTCACCATTGATCCTTTCCTGTTGCCTTGGACACTCCCGCTGAAATCAATCCATCCATGCACGTCTTCAGTGACAGCTCAACGAACTCCACGAAAACTCCGAGTGCCACGACTCCACATGACTCCACGACTCCAACTCCGCAGGAAGGAGCGCGTCATCGGCCAATTGGAGATCGACCGGATCCTCACCCCTTCCATTCGCTCCTCGACCAAATGGCTGGTGGTTGGTCTCCCCAGAGTGGTCCGGACGGCAGTGGCAGTGGTTGAAGGACAAAGGCCAGGCAACTGCTGCCTTTTTGACAGAGGTGGGAGGCTTTTCAGGAGATCAATTTGAGTCACCTGGAACATAGTCCCCTCAACAAACTCAACCTTGTCCATCTCCAGATATCTCCAGCACCCAAGTCCTTTTCATTCCAACTGGACACCTCTCCACTTCTGAGGTGATGCCTATGAATCTTTGCCGCTCCACACCGACCCCTTGGGCGAGACCGAGCCGCCCCCTCCCGCCGGCTGGGCCGGCCGCGCGTCCGTGGCGCCGGCGGGCGCCGCCGACGGCGGCGGACCGCGCGCGGGCGACGGCCTGCAGCGGAAGCAGACGGATTCGCTGGCGCCGGGCGCCGAGCCGTCGGAACGGCACCTGGCGTGGTTCCAGCGGATGGACACACAGAGCATGGGTTCTGAGCTGCCTGGTTATAGAGCACACAAACAAGGGTGAGGGATGTGAAGGCTGTGAAGGTTTTGTCGTGGTAAAATGATGAAAATGATGGGATTTTGCAGGTGGAAGTGAGGTTAATAAATTGGCTAGACATTTTGTGACAGAAGTTGATGGAGAAGGAAAGATATATATATGATCTTATGCCCCCATGATTAATCACAGAGCAGGTCATGTTTTCACCGTAGCATTGGGGCTTAAGAGGCAGAGTGTTGGATGGGAGGGGAGGCGCCCCCTCCCCTCCCAGTGTGTGACAGGTGCCACCACTTCCTTGTTCGTGAGGAGGGGGTGAGCACCTGTGGGCCTTGCCGTAAGGCGTACCAGCTCTCGGTGTCAGTGCGGAACGTGATCCCGGCTGACAAGGACGAGAGCGCGGTGGTGTTTTTCTCAGGCTGTTTCAGCCTCCTCGAAGACTGGCTCGCTGAGATTCGAGGGTTGAACGAGCGAGACCGAAAGCACCGCCGAGAAGAGAAGCCCCAGACCAAGCCCGACAAGAGAGAAGAGGATCCCAAAAAGCCTGACAGCCCGAAACACACCAGCCGCCCTAGCAAACCAGCTGACAGCCAAAAGACCCCTCAGAACAGCCCAGTCAGCCGTCCTTCCAGTTCGAGCAAGGGTGCAACCAAGCTTCCCTTGCCACCTCCACCTCCAGTCCCGGATACCCATCAGGGGAGCACAGACCGAGGGTTCAGCTCCCAGACCGTCCGAGTGCCAAGACCCAGCCATAGAGACCAGGATCCCCCAGCAAACAGACCCGAGAAGAGGTCAGCTACATCACCTCAGAGCAAGCGAGCCCCCCCAACCGAAGAGGTTGAGGTTGAAGTGGACCCGGAAGTCCCAGGTGGTGCGAAGAAGGAGAAAAGTCGGAGGAGGAGGAGACAACGGGAGAAAACAAGCTCATCTCCCAGCTCACGAGGCCGAGACAAGAAGAAGAGGAGGCGAAGCCATCGTGACAAGAAGGATCGAAGCCGCCGGAGACGGAGGTCAAGGTCAAACACCTCCTCAGTGACCGGTTCACGAGTCCGGGAGGCCAAGAAGAGCGGAGCAGTGAGGCTTAAGTCACCCGAGAAACCTCGCAGCCCCCATACACCACCTGGCCCCCCGCCAGCTCCTCCACCGGTGCGCCAGCCGCCAGCGAGGCCACCGCCAGTCAGGCCTCCCAAGAGGCCGTCCATCCCGCAGGGACCAGGCTGGATAGGTCGCGTGCCCTACAGCAATCACCCGCGTTGGTGTGCAGGCAAAAACAAGGGGGTGACTCGCCGGGCGAAACAAGAGCTCTTCAATCGACGAGGATAATGCCCCCAAGAGCACGACCAGCTGTCAGGGCCCCCGCTCTTCGGAAGCGGCCTGCCAGTCACGTGGCCAGTGAGGAGAAGGTCACAAGGCTTCATCTCTTCAGAGAGCTTGCCGCGGTGCAGTTGAGAGGCCTAGGCCTGGTGGAGCTTGCACAGGCGTCGTACTACGAGGGCCACATCAAGCTTGCAGGCTTCGTTGAAGGACTAGGAAAGGAAGATGACTTTCTGACTTTCCGTGCAACCGGGACGCAGACGGATCATATGACTGAGCTGCTCTCGGATCCTCAGAGACGCATTTTCCAGCTGCATGTGTGTGGGCCTAGCTGCGGACGCCGCGAGTCAGGCCCGGACATCATCCACGCGGCAGGTTATTGGGTGGTTGAAGAGGAGGAGAAGAAGCCATGGCAGACTATGTATGACGAGGGTCCGGCGAAGGTTGGAGCAGAGGATGAGATGGGGGCACTTCGAAAGTTGCACGAAGAGCGAAAGGGGGCAGACCGAAGGGAGGACAGGCCTCCCAGTGAGGAGTCAGAGAAGAAAAGCAAGGCAAAAGAGAAAAAGAAGAAGAAGAAGCAGAAAGAGAAGTTGAAGAAGCAAGAGAAGGAGCCGGGCCCCAAGAAGGGGGCAGACGTTGAGGAGGACAGTGCATTGTTGGAGCGGGGGCAGAAAGCACTGTCAGCCTTGTATGGGGGAACTTGCTTGGACCCAGATGCTGAGACCCGAAGCAGACTGCTGAAGAGAGCAAAGCGGTTTGGTGGCCGAAGCTCAAAGAAGAGGAGGAGGTCATCGAGTGAGGACACCAGCGACTCGAGCACCACGAGTGAGACGGAGGAGGATGAGTTCGGCGAAGGGTTATTTGAGGAGCGGAAGAGAGCCCTCCGTCTGACAAGACGGTATCCTGGCAGTCTGGCCGCGCAAACGGTGGCCAGCATGAAGGAATCGCTGCTCACTCAGAGCGGGAGCCTGTATGCTCAAGATCGGAAGACCCTTCCGCCGATCTTCTCGCAGTTTTACAGGTCCGAGATGCAGGCGCTTTGCTCTCCTTCGATGAGTCAGGAGCTCCTTACGCTATCTCAAGGAGCCGATCTACTCCTACGTGGGCATCCAGCACGAGCGCTTGACTTGCTGGCGCAACGCGTCAAGGCCCTCGATCAGCTGATCCGAGGCGGACACTGGACGGTTGCCAGACAGTTAGAGTTAGTCAGTGCTGACTCAGTGGGCCTTAGCAAAGGCCCCGAGGGCCAAGAGGCCGCCAAGCTGGCGCGTGAAGAGCTTCGGGATAGACTTGCCTCCCAGCGGCCATATGGGTCTGGTAGTGGATCCGGGGGCCGAGACAAAGGGGAGGGGGTCGGAAAAGGAAAGGATCGCTATACCTCCGGAGGAGAAAAAGGAAAGGGTGAGAAGGGCAAAGGAGCAAAAGGAAAAGGAAAGAAGAAGAATGAGTGACCAGAAGGAAAGAAGGAGCTCCAACGGAGGTTTGATGAGCGATCCAAAAAGTGAGGCCAAGCAAGCAAAAGGGTCAAAAAGGGTCTGGAAAGGGACGGATGAGCAGAGGACGCAGAGGGCACTAGAGCTGGAGGACAAGGGCACAGAGGCTGAGGCGAGAGAAGAGACAAGGGCTATAGAGAGGCTGTTGGAGGATTGTCGTGAAGAGGGCTTGAGGCGAAAGAAAACAAAGGATGGAGAGCAGCAGGTGGGCCCGAGGCCGCATGTGGAGTTGGGAAGGGAGCCGCAGGGCTCCCAGACCAAGGGCGAGAGGAGTGTGGCGTTGTGGGAGTCGCGAGGGCGTGACATTGTTGTGAGGAGAGAGGATGATGCTGCATTGGGCCCGCCTGGTGACGTTGATTTTTTGGAAGGGGAGCAGGACTCCCAGAGCGCTGGGGTTGGATCAGAGAAACAGCAGGGCGGTTTGGGAGACACTGCTTCACAGACCTATACCTCCCCACTGAAAAGTGGGTCGAGAAGGATGGTGCTGGAAGCAAGCAATCGGCAAGCCTTTGAACAGTGCCGGTACAACCTTGCCACGGCATGTCGAAAAAAGGGGTTGAGATTTGAGGAGATTGGGGAGCCGCTTCTAGAGGCGTTGAAGGTGCAGGAGAAGGCATATGCGCGTTGCAGCGAGACCAAAGGGGACTTGTTCCCCTTGCCCCTTCCATCGTCCCTGAAGCCCGACACTCCCCCGGGTTTTTGTACAGATGCATTGGTGCAAGCATTGAATTCATTGTATGGGACAAAGACTTTGACGAGAGTGAGAGAGGACAAGGTTCGGTTGACCATGGTTGAGAGATTGGAGAAGGTGGTAGGGGAGTCTGAACTAGAAAAGTGTGAACTCCCAGACCTTGACTTCGGGGAGTTCTTCAAAGCCAGGTCGGTAGACTACTCCGGTGAGATAGTTCAGGTCGCACGTCGTTTCGATTGGCGGATGGTGGAAGCCGCTTTCCCAGAGGCCGTACTTGGTGAGTAGATTGAACTTAAGTCCCACTGAGGTACTTTAAGTAGGTTATAGGAACTTATAACATAAGTTCGATATAACTAAAAATAAGTAAAATTAAGTAAAACCTACTTAAAAAATAAGTAGAAATAAGTAGAAATAAGTAAAAATAAGTAGAAATAAGTAAAATTGATACAACACTGAAATGAGACACTTACGTTACACATTCGATTTACTTTTCCAACATGAACAGTAAATATCACATGACAAATGAAATACAAGCGTCCCAAAGGCCGCTCGCTTGACAACTGACAACCCAACCTTTTCACTTATTCTTTGCTTGAAGCTCAAGGACCTTTTTGGTCCGTTTTCTTTGAAATTCCTTTTTCTTTTGGCACCACTCATCAGAGTCTGGTACATAGCAATTCCTTTCATGCCACTCCTGACGAAGCCCCCCTCTTTTCCTGGCTCTTCCTGTCTTGAGTAGTGTGCGCTGCCTTTGTGACAGCAAGGAATCATCAGGCAGCTCATTTTTCTCCTCTGTTTCCTTTGGCGCTTTGTCAATCACCTCTTTCTTCTCATCCTCTGTCTTCTCTGGCGCTTTCTCGATCACCTCTGTCTTCTCATTCTTTGGGGGTACACTTGAAGATGAGGCAGAGGATGACATTGGTGTAGGTTCGTAGTCCGGAGCAAGTGAAGCCCTCAACGCCATAGCAATTTGGTCGCAAAGTGGCACGATGCCGCCCAAATCCATAGTAACTGCCCCCTTTGGTTCACCACCTTGACAAACTGCTTCATTTGGTGGTGTAATTGGCGAAACCGGCGAGGGTGGATCCATCATTGCCCACAACTATAATAGCCTAGTGGAAGTATGTGCATTCTGCATTAGACAAAGCAAATGCTTATGCATGTAGATCTATATATATATATATATTTAGACAAAACTCAAAACAGATCAAAACGGTTTGTTTGGTTTGAGCGGCCAATTGGACGCTTGTTTAAAGTGAACAACATGTTTTTTGGTTGGGCTAGTTCTTACGCACGCTTACATATATATATATACACACATATTTGTTTGTTTTTTCCATAGTTCTTGTGACTTGAACCAGCTGTAGGAATCAAAATAAAATTGATGACATCCAATGCGCTTGAAAAGTTATGTGATTAAGAAACAATACTGCCAAGGTACCACAGGTACAACACAAAATGTTTGTCGAAGCGTCCCAAAGGCCGCTCTCTCTGA